TCAGGAACGCAGCGGTCGACGTGGTGCGAACAGCGAAACGCAACTATGAGTTTAGGCTGGCCAAGTGCGCCAAGAATCATCCTAAGAAATATTACGGGTATGTACAATCCAAAGGAACACTCAGGAATGGCGTGGGGCCGCTGAAGACCGGAGGGAAATCCCTTGCTGCAGACGACAACAGCAAGCCGGACACACTAAGTCTGTACTTTAGCAGTGTTCATCGTACTGACAACGCTGCGCCCACAACCTGGGACCCGGAAACTCCTCCGGTAGTTTTAGACGATTTGCGTCTAACGGAGGACATGGTTAGGAGCCATCTAGAGAGCTTAAATATAAACAAGTCGGCCGTTCCCGACGGTATTCACCCAGCCACTGTGAGACCATTAGCGGGCACCCTAGCTCGACCACTGTGTCAACTATTTAAGCTAAGCCTAGAACAAGGTATTCCACCACTGGACTCGAAAACAGCCGCCGTGGTAGCCATACATAAAGGGGGGCCAAGATCAGAAGTAAGCAACTACAGGCCGGTAAGCCTGACTAGCATTCTTTGCAAGGTGCTGGAATGGATCATCAGGGCCCATATCTGTAAGCACTTAGTGGACCATTCTATGCCATGCCCTACTCAGCATGAGTTCCTGAAAAACAGGTGGCGTCTCACCAATCTCTTGTGCTTCCTAGATGAAGTACCTCGTAGGTTGGATGAAGGCAAAATCGTCGAAGTATGCTACCTAGACTTCAGTAAAGCATTCGACTCTATGAATCATCGCCTACTGTTGATCCAGTTGAAAGCCGTCGGCATAGAGGGACAGATCAACAGCTGGATATCTTTCTTAGAGTATCAAGCTTGGATTAGCCCATTCGATTGTTCAGAGGCACCAGGCACTCTCGATGGTTCTCGGTGTGGGTTTCACTCTTCGGGAGATCGTTAATTCCCCACTGTTTGTATGCATTTAAATGCGATGGAAGTGTTTGTGATAACCAACAAAGAGCACTGGACAGCTGTTTCGTCCTGTTTGGGACTCATCAGCAGTGCGTACTTTTTGTGTCTCTGTCAGGACTCGAACCGCACTGCTGACGAGTCCCAAACAGGACGAAACAGCTG